CTGTGTGTAGCAGCATATTAATATTGATTCACTACAACGTTTTTAAAAAAGTATTACCAATAATGATTCAGATGATCTTTTACCCATTTTTTTTTAGTCTTTTTAATGCCATTTTTTAGCGTTTTTATTACTTTTTGAAATTTTTAATGATAGTAATTATCACGGTCGTGTGATAACCCAACACGCAGGATGTAAACCCAAAGAAAACCAAATCACGTTTTACTGAACCTTAGGATGGTCGGGTTTAACGTAGGTAGAAAAAATGGAGTGGATGCTCTGTGATTATAGGCGCTTGTGGTAGAATTAAATAAAATACAATTACAGCAGCTTCCACACTTAAGCAGGAACTCTTCAACCTACTGAAAATCAAATGTGTAAATAAACGCTATTGTGCAAATAAATGCCAAATAGTGAGGGGTGTGTAGCGCTTAAACAAATAAACACTTACTCCTAAAATTCTTTAGGAGATATAAACAATGGATGGTAAAATCCTAGAAAGGAAACATATAAAATATGGTGCAATATGGTTGGTATAATGGTGAGAGAAATATCTTATTCTGGATTCACTCACGTGGTTTAGAGCCTCTTAAGGACCGGCTCTGATCTCATCCGTATTTGTGTCTTTAAGGTGACACACACCCTAAACGTCCATATTAGATGAAAACCTCAATAATGGAGACAAAAAATTGGAGAGAACAGGGAGGCAATGCCAGCCCTAGTGTAGAAATCCTTGGTATAATAAAGTGCAGAATAAGAATAAAGGTTACTTCTCACCTTATATAGAGCCTATGACTGGGCTCCAAGTTTGTAGATATAGTGTCAAATTTTGTTCATTTGGTCTAGGTTTTCTTATTTAATTTTTTTTGTAAATCTTGTTTATTGAGTCATAAAAGTCAGCAAAAGTTAGGCTCGCTAGCCAGCAAAAGGTACAAAGTTAACAATATAAGTCATAAAAAGAAACAAGCGTAAATGCAATATAATAACGGCGTAACAATTCACGCTAGGATCGTAAACTCTAATGACTGGTCAGTGTATAAGTTCTGTGTTCCCTTTCCGTGTTTGGAAAGATGTAGGTGAGCTTTGCCCTAGAGTGATGTATCAGTGTATGTAAGTATGTGTGCGTGTGTACTCGCAGAATACAGCAACTCTTGGTGTTAACACAGCGAGAGGACGGGGCCTATCAGCCTCAGATATGATCCAAGGTGTCTAATAATAAATTGTCACCATATAAGGTATAGAGTAGGCTACCTAGTAGCTTATCAGAGTGGAGAAGACCCACAGGTCCTGTTAATAACTCCATATTAGCTCAAGCGAGTGGAGATAGGGTGGTGAAGTACGTAATCCTTTCCGTCATGGTGACATGAACGTAACCTTTTCTGTTTCCTGGGGTGTGTGTTTGAGAAGCTTCTACCTGTTTTAGGGTGCTTAGGTGCCCCTTTCCCCATAAATCATTATCTGAGCGCTTATCACTCCGAGGTCAGGAGTCCTCTGCTCACTGCTTACTTGTGCATATACATCCTGTATGTAGCCCATTTCTTGTACAGGCGCCTACCCCTTCTCCACGACAGGTACTTATAGCATAGCTCGAGTATTGTACACGATTCACTACCCCCACCCTCACCCTGTGTTTAGCTAGTGCGTGTTGTCGTCAGTGTTCTGCCGAGGGTAAGTGTCCCTGTTATGTCTACTTGTGGTGAGCGCATGTCAATCTTATTGTCGTGGGGTCAGTGTGGTGAATTAGGTCTCAGCTAGCCTGTCAAGCAGCCAGGTCAAGAAGGATCCCTGACGATTGCACGGATGGTCAGGATCTACCGTCTTTTGTCAAGTCCTAGTCTCTGTGTCCCCGTCCATTGACGTCGTCACTCATTAGTCTAGTTGTGTGTTGTCTGTCTGTCCTGTATTCGGTCCATCTGGTCCCGCTCCCGGGCACACCGGGCCCCGGTGATCTATAAGATGGGGGGAAAGAAAAGGGATTAAGGGGTGAGGAGCATTGGTACCCGAGCCGCGGTTCCCTGAGCATTCATCTCTTGCCGGTACCTGGCAATATATAAAAACCAGGGCATCCACATTTCCGCATGCTTGGTTCCCCGACCCGTTATGGTGGCATGAGCTTCCTCTGCCCCCTGGATATCTTCCACCCTGCGGATCCATTCTTGTCTAGTAGGTACCGCATTCGTCTTCCAGTGGGCCGGTATGTTGGCCTTTGCGGCATTAAGTAGGTGTCGTAATATCGACTTCTTGTACACCGAGATGGGTCGAGTTGAGATGTGTAGCAATGCCAATTCCGCGTTCCATTCTGGTATGTCTCCCAGGATAAGCGTTACTGTATCCATGATCATTTCCCAGTAGGGGGTGATTTCCCTGCACTCCCACCATATATGCATCACCGTGCCTCGTTCCTCTTGACATCTCCAACACGCCGGGGGGAGTGATGGGAAAATTCGGTGTAGTAGTACTGGCGTTCTGTACCAGAGGGAGATTAATTTATAGTTCATTTCCTGATAATAGGAGCTCATAGAACTCTTGTGTTGCCATAGCATTGCTGCCTCCCACTGTTGGGTGGTGAGCGGATTCCCGAGTTGTTCTTCCCATTGTCGTTTGAATGTCATCGGTGCAGGTGCGCCTCCAATCAGTAAGTGTTGGTATAGTGTCGAAATCGCGTGGTCCAGTCCGGCACCCCGGTCGCAGAGGTCTTCGAACCATGTAAGGTCTCTGTGTAATCGGTCATTGTGTGGAATTGAGGCATGGAAATGTTTCAGTTGTAGGTACCGAAATTGGAGAAGAGACGTCCTTGGCCTGTCCCCTAGCAGTGATGAGAGATCTCGTAATTTCCCCTCTGCCAGGATTGTATGTATGGGTATGTATTCGCTTGCACTCTCGATGGGCCATGCTCCTGCCGGGAGCCCATCCCCTATGGCTTCATTATGCGTGATTGGCAGCATCGGGCTGGGTGTGGGGGATACGTGTTCTTGCCCCCTCAGTGCCTGCCAACTATGCAGGGTCTGCAAGACCATCCCCTCGTTGTTCTCAAGAGTGGTTTGTCTCCCAGGCCTTCCCCATACCTTCGCCTCCAGCGTCGGACCAATAAGGCCTCTGTCCAGTGCCACCCATTGTTTAGTCGTCGGTGTTAAGTGCCAGTCCAGTATGCGTTGCATAACCGTGGCTTGATGATATTTCTTGAAATCAGGCAACGCCAGCCCACCGTGTATCCTCGGTCGACACACGATGTCGTGTCGCGTCCGGGATCGTCCCCCGCGCCATATATATTTAATCACCCCCGTTTTCAGAACGGAGAAAAAAGTTGCTGGTATGGCAAGGGGTATCGTTTGCATGAGATATAGGATCCTCGGAAGGATATTCATTTTAATCACGGCAACCCTGCCATGCCATGTGATATGTGGATACGACCAACTAGTTAGGTCTGCAAGAATATTCTTTAGGAGGGGTGTATAGTTGCGATCGTACACGTCCCCCGGTTCCGTGGTCACCCAGATACCCAGATACTTCATTTTGCCGTAACACCATTTAAATGTGAATTGCGATTCCAAGGATTGGAATTCCTCCGTGGGGAGTGTGATGTTCAAAACCTCACATTTCGAAATATTAAGTTTAAATCCGGACATCTGTCCGAATTTATCTAATTCTGAGAGGAGACAAGGCAGCGTGATTCTGGGGTTATTAACAAAGAAAAGAAGGTCGTCCGCGTAAGCAGCCACTTTGTGTTGCACTCCTTGCCATTCATAGCCCAGTATATTCGGATTTAGTCTGATTGCTTGCAAAAAGGGCTCCAGGGTGAGAGCGAACAGCAACGGTGAGAGCGGACACCCCTGCCTGGTTCCATTACTGATTGCAAAATCAGCAGTTGTGGCCCCATTGATTCTTACAGTTGCTCGGGGACCCGTGTACAGGGCCGAGATCCACGTGAGGAGCCGCTGGCCGCAGCCCTGCCAAGTCAGCGTCTCCATCATATACGACCAGTTGACCCGGTCAAATGCTTTTTCCACATCTGTCGATAGAAGCAATAATCGGGCTCCCTTTCTCCTAGCATGATGTTGGATGGAGAACAATCTCAGAGTGCTGTCTCTGGCTTCCCTCCCAAGAATGAATCCCGTCTGATCAACGTGTATCAAATCGGGTAGAAGACGTTTTAGGCGGGTAGCGAGCACTTTCGTAAATAGTTTGGAGTCCACATTTAGCAATGAAATCGGGCGGTAACTACCGCAGTGTAATGGGTCCTTACCCGGCTTGAGAAGGACCGTGATGGTAGCTGCAACTGATTCCCTACCCAGGGTTCCCCCTTCACCGATCGCGTTGAGAGCATCGGTTAGCCGCGGCAAGAGCAGTCCCGAGAAGCCTTTATAGTATCCCAGCGAGAAGCCATCTGGGCCAGGTGCTTTGCCGGTTTTGGATGTTTTAAGAGCCGCTGCTATTTCTTCCACACTGATTGGCGTGTCTAGCATTGATGCGGATTCCTGGTCGATCTTGTTCGTGACCGTATCAGACAAGAAGTCCCGTATCTTCGTGAGGTTCCTCATAGCTTCAGTATCCCCGGTAGGCGTGTATAAATTGTAGAGGATCTCGTAAAAAGTTTTGAATTCCTCTGCGATTTTCTGCGGGAAAGGAGAGGTCTCCCCCGTGGTCAAGCGTATCTTGCGAATTTGCCGATGGGGCATAGGGCCCTTTAGGAGCCTCGCAAGGTATTTGCCACCTTTATTAGCATGTACATAATAAAAGCCTTTAGTTCGTTGCACCGATCTGAGGTGCCTTTTCAAGAGGAGTGCTTTAAGCTTTCTCCTGTGTTCCATCAGGTCACCGTAAACCGCATTCAGCTGTGATCTTTTATGGTTGCGTTCTAGTGTCGAGATTGTGTGATGTAGCTCAGTCATTTCACGCATATACGCCTTCCGTTTCTGTGAGGCGATGCGTATAAATGTGCCGCGGATCATGCTCTTGTGAGCTTCCCACAGGGATATCGGGCAGACATCCGGAGTGTCGTTTTATCAAAAATATTGCTCCAATGCCTGGCGTAGTTGTTCCTTGGTGTCCAGGTCTAGTAACAGGGCTTTGTTTAGTTTCCAGGTCCACCCCTTTGGTTTGTACAGGGGGGAATCCAATTCCATCTCGACAGATCCATGATCCGACCAAGTGGCCGGAGTGATGTCGGCTCCTAATAGGTGAGAGAGGCCCTCCTGAGCGACAAATAGATAGTCGATGCGTGAGTATCGGTTGTGAAGTGCTGAATAGTAGGTGTAATCTTTTGTTGAGGGGTGTAGCGTCCTCCAGCAGTCCACCAGTCTCAAGGCTTCCATCGATCATCGAATGGACCCGATAGTATGCTGTGGTAGGCAGCTATGACCCGTTGAGGAATCCAGTGTCGGGTCAAGTGGGGCGTTGAAATCACCACCCACTATTAGTATCCCATCCGTGAAGTCTTCCAGCTGGTGGAGAGTGTTTCGGAGGAAGGGAGCCTGCCTCTTATTGGGTACATAGATGGAGGCTAGTGTATATATCTTCTCCGCTATAACACCTTTAAGGAAGAGGTATCTTCCTTGCGAGTCTTGCACTCGGTCTAGTTCTGTAAATTCCAGATCAGCCGCCAGGAGAATGGCCACTCCGGTTTTGTATGACGTGGGATGGTTGCAAAAGCAATTATTGGGGTAGTGCCTATTCCGTAGCCTAGGATGCGTCCCCTCCTTGAAGTGAGTTTCTTGCAGTAAGGCAATCGACACATGTTTTTTCTTCATTTCTCTCAGCAGGTGTGTCCTGCGCTCAGGGATGTTGAGTCCTCTGCAATTCTGTGTGATAATCTTCAGGGGCTTAGTGCAGTAAGCCATAGTGTCCAGGCGTGTCGGTAGCAAGAGCTTTGTGTGGTTCCGAGGAGGATACTCAAGCTGTGGGCCAGTCGGTCAAATGTGGGGCGGGAGGGGGGGGAGGAGGAAGGGTGGAGGAAGGGTAGAAAAATAGGATTGAGTTCAGGTTCGGTACCCGGGATACGGGGCCAGCTGTCCCTATGGTAATTAAAAGGAGGTGTGTATTCTTGTAGTTGATGTCCTCACAAAGTTTGGGTCCGCCCCAAATCTACTCCCCTCACCCAGGTGGGGGAGGGGTGTCTCGTGCAGCAGCCCAGGAGACCAAAGTACTCCCCGTTCGGCTGCACAACTTTTAGCACGAGTATTCGTGTGTGGAAGCGCAACTCGAGCTCCGCCCAAGTGAGATCTCACAGAGAGATAGTAGGCTCCTGCTCCTAACCGCCCCCCAAGTGCGATGCTAAACGGGCTGTATGTAACCCCTTATTGGGCGTCATCAGTGGAAAGGCTCATAAATGACAATTACTATGTGGAGGAAATATCACAAAGAGAGCCTAAGGTAACTTGCCTGTATCCAGTGAAACCCGTCCTTCCCCAGGTTCCTCCCCAGCGCAGAGCGTTTCCAGTCAGCTCCCGCTCATTCCCATCCAATCGTCCCCGGCCGGTCTGTCTACCCAGGATGTTAGTTAGTGAGGAGCGTGTAACAGGCATCAAAACCCCCCGGGGTGTGAGCATGTACGAGAGCCCGGTATCGTGGTCCCCTGACTTAACCTAAGACAACCCTCTGGAGCCTTGAGTCTGTAGCTATTGATCTCATGATACATACTGCTCGTCTCGGGCAGGGCACGGGGTGCCGTCACGGCCAATGGGCAAAGGGGGGGGCGGGACGGGGGAGCAAGGCCTGTGCGCACACAAGACCAAATATAAGATGTGGTTAGGGGGGGGCGGGCACCTCGCGGGGCGGCCGTGTGTGTGTAGGTGCTAAGATTGATACCAGTGGGAGTGCTTGTGTCGGTGTGTGCAAGGCATAACATGCTAACAATTATGAACAGCAGAGTTAAATGCAACAATTTCCTCCCTCCAGGTCCCCCCCCCGCCACCCAACAAGGCCTCCCCCCCCCATGTCTAGGCAATGCATCCTGTAGCTTTATAGTGTCTCGGTTGCAGTACATGGATCCAAGGATGCAAGCAGGCACTGAAAGATGGACCATGTCCCCCCCTCCGCTCCCCGCGTCCCCCCTCCCAAGAGCCCACAAGCCAAACAAATGATACGCCGTGTTCCGGTTCTGGAAACAAGGGGGGGCCGTTAAATATTCTGATTGTTGAGTCCACGTGTGTGAGAGTCCCTGCCGTGTGCCCCCAGACCAATCGCCCTCCACCCCAATCCCCGACAATATGTCCCAAAGTACCTGAGGGCGTACCGTACGCCGGTGCCGGTCATCACGGGGGGGTAGAGGCAGGTACGGGCCGCTCAATATCTGGGGCCCATATCGTGCGGTCAAAGGTATTGTAAGTCAGTAGCCGATGCTGGTGAAGGTTGGGAGTCGAGGGGCTTCAAACAGCCAACATCACCGTGGGCAGGGAATTGCAGTTATTCCTCTGGGGATGTTGGATCCCTATGTCTTCCAGCTTGAGAAGTAGCAGGAGCCCTCGCATTCCGCTGCCTTGGTTCCCTCTGTGTTCTCGGCGGGGGGCCCAGTGATCCCAGGATCCAGTTGGGGATTGTCTGTGGTGGGAGGCCTAATTCTCCCAGGAACCGCGGCACCTCCTCCGGCCATTTTAGGGTAACCCACCGGTTCTGGTGCCTTGCCATCAAGGCAAAGGGGAAACCCCATTTGTAAGTCACATTATGTTCTCGTAGTGTCGCTGTTACAGGGCGAAGAGCTCGCCTGGCTTCCAGGGTGATAGTTGACAGGTCGTTGTAGAGTGAGACCTGGGCCCCTCTGAAGGTCCAGGTTGTGCGGTCCCGGGCTTTCACCATGATAGCATTCTTCACCGGGAAAGAGCTCAGACAACAGATGAGGTCTCTCGGTCCGTCCTCCGCATTTCGGGGTCGTAGGGCCCTGTGTGCTCTCTCGAATTCAATCTGTGGAGGCGGGGACGGCTGCATGATTAAATGGAAAAGCTCCTGAAGGGTGTCCTGAACATCTTCTGCCCCTTCAGCCTCTGGGACACCACGTACGCGGATGTTACACCTCCTACCTCTATTATCCACATCCTCGAGGTGTCGGCGCATGGTGAGCAGCATCTCGCCTTGTCTGGCAACCGCAATGTCAGTGAACGCCATGCGGGCCGTGAGGGCCGTATCCGCTTCCTCCAATGCGGTGATGCGGCCCGCATGCGCGGCAAGCTCCGTGCTGAGTCCAGCGACCTCCGTCCGCAGCGTTTCCTGTATGGTGGCTGTTATGGCCTGCAGGTCAGCTTTGGTGGCCATAGCTGTGGTTAGTTCCCGGAGGGTGCCTTCAATCCTCTCCAGTGCAGTGTTTTCCGGCCCCTGGCTGGGTGCCGGCGCCATCTTGGGGCTCGCGGTATCCCCGCTCGCCCCAGGCTGAGGCTGTAAGAAGCCGTCCAGAGGTCTCTGCTGGGGGTTCCCCGGGGTCAGGGAGTACTCTGGGCGTTTGGTGCGCCCCATCATACCTGAGGTGCCGCTAATTATAGCTATATTGGGGGTTCGGCGGAGCGGAGCTCTCTCCTCATGCGGCCATCTTGGTCAGAGCCGGAACCACGCCCCCCCTTTTCTTATTTTATTAACATCACTCATTACCATCTTTTCAAAGGTGGTCATCTCACCAGAGATGCAACACCTTGGAAAGAAGGTAGATTTTTCTTTTAGATCTGTATGTACAATTCCTGTATCATGTTGAGTCTCTTGATTGTTGTGAATAGGATTCTTAAGAAATAATTTCTTTAGGCAAAGTTTTCTTTTGAATCTATTTAGATCCAAATATATTCTAAATTTATCAATTGGTTTGGTGGGAGCGAATTTTAATCCTTTATAGTCACACACATAGCACCTCTGTAACACTCTGTAAGAATATGTACACAGTGGTGTATCCTGGTTTTGTGCTGCCCTAGGCAGGACAAAACTCAGGCGCCCCCCTTCCCCCCCGCCACTCCCACCCAACCCTTCCCCCCACCCCGCCTTCTAAATACACACACACTCATTCACTGACAGATACGCATACACTAGCTAACAGACACACACTCACTAACAGACACACACTCACACTAACAGACACACACACACAGTCAGACAGACACACTCACACTTACTAACAGACACACACACACACACTAACAGGCACACACACTAACACACACACAGTCAGACACACACTCACTAACAGACACACTCACTAACAGACACACACACACACTAACAGACACACAAACACTAACAGACACACACTAACAGACATACACACTCACTCACTCACTCACATTAACAGTGGTGTATCCTGGTTTTGTGCTGCTCTAGGCTTCAGGCGCCCCCCCTGCACCACCACCATCCAACCCTTCCCCCCTGCCCAGCCTTCTAAATACACACACATACATTCACTGACAGATACGCATACACTAGCTAACAGACACACACTCACTCACTAACAGACTCACTCACTAACACACACACACACTAACACACACACACTAACAGACCCACACTCACACACTAACAGACAAACACACACTCACTAAGAGACAAACTCTCACTCACTAACAAACACTCACTCACTAACAAACACACACTCACTAACAACCACACACTCGCTAACACACACTAACAGACACACATACACTAACAGACACACTAACAGACACACTAACAGACACACACAGATACACACACACAGACAAACACTCACTCACATTAACGCACTCACTTTTTTTTTTATTTAATCCCCAGCCTCCTTATCTTTGGGAATGCTGGGGGGGAGGGGTTCTCCCTCTCCCTGGGGTCTAGTGGGGCTGCTGGGCGGTCTGTCGGGCGGCGTTGGCGAGGGAGCACTTTCCCCTGCGTGCTCTGCTCAGCTCCCTCGCGCGCTACATAGTGATGCCGGGAACTGGAATATGACGTCATATTCCAGCTCCAGGTGACCGGCATCACTGTGCGGAACAAGACATTTGCCCTGGGCATTTTGAGAGCTGATTTTTTTTGCCGCCCCCTGGAAAATGCCGCCCAAGACAAATGCCTTGTTTGCCTCGCGGCTAATACGTCCCTGCACACACACACTGACCCACACAAACAAGCATTCAATGACTTGCACAGACTGATTCATACATACACAGACAGTGACCCATATAAACATGCACACACTTACCACAGTCACAGAATATTGATTGGCAACCTTTTGGAGATTTTACTAACCAGTAAATGGTCAAGCATTTTGTTTGTTTTTGGTTTTGCAGAGACTGATTATGGACTAGGGACACTATACCTAAGCCTAATCCTTAGCTATAGCCTAATTCAGTCTATATATTAAAAAGGGCATTATAGGCACCCAGACTACTGTAGCGGATGGCACTGGGCTGTCCTGCAAATGTCTTATGAATAACTGCATTCGTGTGATCTGCTGGTTTTATATGTGTTTAAAAGAATTGTATTCCTCTGATTGTTCGGTAGAATCATTCGAATAAACTAAGGGAATGAAACTACCGAACAATCAGACCTCCCCTGTGTGAAGTGTGTCCTCAATTACCCGTTGCAACATTGTTGCGAACGGGTAATTGACAAGTTAAGTAGCCGTCCTTTGTTCTCGGGGGTGGCCGCCATTCGACAAACGAACACGTGGCGGTGGCCATTTTAAAACTCCCAAACAGCGGTGTTTTGCCGTCGAGTGTCTGGACCTCAAATCGGACACTCGACTAGGCGAACACCGCTGAAACCTCCACAAGCCCGGTCCGTTCGGTTCCTAACTACCGAACGGCCCCTCGTTCGGTAGATAGAAAGAACCGAACGAGGGGATTCAGGCGAACCCTCCCTAGCCTCTATAGCTAGAGGCTTTCGTGCAGTTTGTTCCCTTATTCCAGGACCGACCGCAGGGCCCATTCGCATGGAACCGCATTCGGCTGTCTCAGTCAGTGCGGTCGGTCATTTTATTCCCTCCATAAATTTCCCGAACCCCTGGTCTGATCTGGGTGATTTTTGGATATGTTGTTCACCCAGATCAGGGCTATCAGGGGATGTAGGATTTAAAGGGGTACCCCTACGTTTAGGGGTACATCCAGAAACGGGGGGAATTGCTAGGCTGGATAAGGGGATTATGATGCAGGCTGAGGGGAGGAGATGTGTGGGAGGTTACCAGGACAGGATTGGCTACTGTACTAATGATTGTAAATCCCTCCCTTGCATGGGAGCATGCTTTAAAAGGACACTGTGGATTAAAGATTTCAGTTCTGCTCCTGAAACTGTGTGTCGTCCAGTTATTGGGATTGCTGTTGGGATATTGCTGTTATTTTACCTGCTGGAAACCTTGCCTGTGGATTTACTATTTACTTGTTCCTGAGCCTCACTTGGATTATAAGCGGAGATAACCGGGGGAATATTGCATCTCCGCTACAACTACTTCAGCCCATTGCAGTGTCACTGTCCCCATTAGTCCTGCAATGCAAATTATTGCAGTTTTAGAGACTTTAGGTCACTTGAAGCTGGACGTCCTCACACTCTGCATGAAGACTTCAAGTGTCAGTTAAAAACCCATATGAAGGTCCTGGAGCAATGCTTTCCTATGGGGAAGGCCTAATGCCCTCGCTGTGCATCGAAATTAGTTGACCCTGTTGGATGACGTCAAAGGAGGCAGCGCTGAGGGAGATCGAAGCTTCTCTTGAAGCACTGTGTTAATAAGATTCCCAGTCTGTGTAATGCGATTGGCTGAGGTTATCCTGAGATTAGCCAATACACAAAGGTGTACAAGAGGGGGATGAAAAGTTCAGGAAGCTAATTAACGCTAGCTAACTAACACTAGCTAATTAGCATTATGATTGTGTCTTCCATAGATTGCTAGGAAGAGGAGCACATAAGGCAAAGTATTATATATATTTATGTAAAAATTAGAAAACAGACGTTTACACACTCGTGTAAATACTGTCTGTGTAAATTTCTCTTTTTTGCTAGTGTTTATGTTGGTAGGAAGACCCACTTAGCAGCATCTATTTTATCCTTGTTTACTTTTAAACCATCTGCCACACATCACTTTTACAAAAATATTGGTAAAACTATGATCATAAAGTTATGTTACTGAAAAAACAAACAAACAAACAATAGCAAGAAAGACCCAATTTCGGGACTTCTTGAATAAAAAATAGAATTCTGCACTTAAAACAATTCTACATTTACCACCAGCAGTAAAACGTCATATATAGATATCCCGCGGATTAAAGGACCACTATAGGCTCCCAGACCACTTCAGCTTAATGAGGTGGTCTGGGTGCCTGGTCCAGCTAGATTTAACCCTTTTTTTCTATAAACATAGCAGTTTCAAAGAAACTGCTATGTTTATAAATGGGTAAATCCAGCCTCTAGTGGCTGTCTCATTGACAGCCGCTAGAGAGCTTCCACGCTTCACACTGTGATTTTCACAGTGAGAAGACTCCAGCATCCATAGGAAAGAATTGTGACTGCTTTCCTATGGACTGGCTGAATGCGCACTCGGCTTCTGCTGCGCATGCGCATTCAGCCGAAGAGGAGGAGAGGAGGAGGAGAGCTCCCCGCCCGGCGCTGGAAAAAGAGGTAAGTTTAACCCCTTCCTCTCCGTCCAGCCTGACGGGAGGAGGACCCTGAGGGTGGGGGCACCCTCAGGGCACTATAGTGTTTTCCTGGCACTATAGTGGTCCTTTAATATATTTGGGTGTCTGTGGGTGACTTCCATCTGCTCTGTGGGGACAGAAGTCTGACTCTGTACCCCTTTGTAGTCTAGTGAATGGAGAGGATCTGTGCTCTAAACAGCACAAATCTCTCTTCTACAATCCTATGTCTGATTTGAATTAGAGGGCATTTCTTAATGCTCCAGCACCCTATCTGTAATATACTGCTCAACGGGAGGGAGTATAGAAGCTTCTTACCTCTAGGTAACTAGGCATTGACAAGACCACATGGGTACCGAGCACCTGGTACCCAGGGGCTCAGACACAGCTGCACCTTCTGCCACTTCAATGCTTACATTTAGTTACACCAGTCTTTCCTGCAATAAATTCTCTGGTTCTACAAAGGCTAAATTGCCCGCTGACAGAACACAATTGCTATGTATCATGCTGTTTGTGGAAGTATGAGACAGATTGAAAGTACTTTCTAACTGATTTATGTCACAGTATATGATACATGGATTGCCATCTGGCCTTATTAACCTAATAATTAAAGCTAAAATATAAAATTTGTAGGAGAGATATATCAAAAACTAAAAGAATCAATTTTTTTTATTCATGACAATTCATATCAGAGCCTGTGAGTTAAAGAACGTGTTAATGGAAGGGTGTGATTTATTTAAAATGTTTCCATTTAAATACACTGCTCAAAAAAATAAAGGGAACACTTAAACAACACAATGTAACTCCAAGTCAAACACACTTCTGTGAAATCAAACTGTCCGCTTAGGAAGCAACACTGAGTGACAATCAATTTCACATGCTGTTGTGCAA